GTTATGAGCACTGACCGCACTTAGGGATTGATGAAGAGGCCACTGGGCCGTCAATTTGAGGTTTGGCGGTTAGCATCCCAAGGGACATCGAACGAGAGTGGTCCTGAATGTATCCATGTAACCACCTCACGGAGTATCATTTTTATGATTTTTTTTTTTTTTTTTTTTGTTGGTGTTCAAAGTTATACTGACATGGGCAACCAACGTTGGAAAAAAAAGAAGAAAGAAAAAAAAGAAAGAGGCTTCCTTGGAGAAAAAAAAATCCAGCAAAATAAATAAATAAATTATATTCTAAATCATACTTGCGGCGCATCCTGTGCGCGGGGTCGCGGCACATGCGGCACAGAGCGCACGCGCATGTGATGCGACACATCACCGAAATAGGGGTCAGTAAAAAAATTCGGGAAGGGCAGGGTGTGATGACCAAATACGCCCCCTCCCTTCTAAAAATTCAGAGTCCAAACGGAAAAAAAAATTTGGGCCACGTTAAGCCGAAAAATTGCGAATGCTTATTCTATTTTCCAATCTCTTTCGCGAAGGACCCTTGCAGAAAACTGGCAAGAGCTCATCATGAAGCAGAGATGGTCGTTGAAGTGTGAGCAGGGCGTGGGCAGGCCGAATATATGCTCTGGATTTGAATTCAGGCCTGTGGAGCAGTTATGGCTTACTAACTTCGCTAGGCCAGATCTCTGCACAGTGCACGCGATTCTCTTTTTTTTGTTTTTTTTTTTTCTTAGGAATAGGTGGAGTGGCCCTAAATCTCGGTCCGCTATTCACTACATGCACAAAAGACAAAACATATGGCGGCGTATGGTTCCATGTTCTAGCGGAATATTCATTCTAGTTTCGCACTTTCAGTTAGAAGCTCTGAGAATCACGTGCAGAGCCCAACAGGGCCTGGCTAAGTTAGCAACCCATAACTGCTTAAACATAGACCTGAATTCGAATTCACACTATATATTCATGGCCCGTTCTTGCTTCTGTAAATACGGTGCCCACCCCTGCTTGGTGATAGGACCTTCGCTTACTTAGTGGAGGGACTCAGATTCCTTGCAGTGACCCTCCTTTTTACGTGAAAGAGGACCTTTG